TTTTTTAGTCGGATCATAGTTAACCCTCTGGTAAGTGTTGGCGTCTGACTCAACATTTTTTTCATGTACGAATCCCTATCAATCGCGACTGTGACATTACCTTTATCAGCCATGGTAAAAAAGAGATTAGGGTTTAATTTACAGAACTTCTTAGCTTCTTGAGAGGCCTTTAAAATAAATTGATACTTAGATTGACAAAGCGGAATATGATTATGAATTCCACATAAAATAGGTACCACCCGGCTTCTAACAATCTCCTTCTCTTCCCTATTGAGTTTACAAATGTTCGACTCAATTTGTTTAATAAATTCAATAAGAATAGACTTCCCATTAGAAGGGGGTAAACTAAAACCGTTACCTAATTGGAGAAGACTTTGAATACTGCTAGGAATGTTCACAGAGGACAGGTTTACGAACCACCGATCATGAGGAGACAGAATAGGAGGAGAACTTTGATTCAAATATGATAGAGGATTGACAGTAATTTTAATTAAACTAGAATCAAAATCGTCAGGAGGAAGACCATTGGAAAAATGAGTTCTATAAGCAACTCCAAGATCTTTGCATGATCTAAGTTTTTTGTTAACAGGACCAGTACTTGTAAAAGTACAGAAATAATTAATGGAGTCCAATTTATTAAACATGAACATAGTTCTTTTTTACACAAAAGCCGAAACTTATTCTCTATACGACGAGTCTCCATAAAATAATAATTAGTAATGCTCGCATACTGCAATATACAAAATCTGCGCCACAAAAAGAAAGGTAGGGAACGCATCAGTGATTTCGATATTAGAAAACTACGGCGTCTTAAGAAATGCTTATGTATAACCCTTATAGAAATATCATACTAAGAATCATTGATAATTACTTATTATCCAGTATTTTTAATACTGAAAATAAGTAAATAATTATCAATGATTCTTAGTATGATATTTCTATAAGGGAAATCCGTCTCTAATCTCAATATCAAGAATTCTTTTTGCATAATCGCAATTTGCGCGCTCAACACCGCTTGACAAACTTTTACTATGTAAGAACACACTTCGGTCTTTAATTTTTTTTAAATGAGAAGGCAGAATATTATTCATCCTACATTTTCTTAAAAATTCGTTCTGTATAGAAACTTTTACAAAAGAAATTTCCAGCTTATTAAGATCCTTGAGGCGTTTAGACATACTACAACCAAAATATAAGGAGACAAAATGCAGAAATTTTAAGAAATAAACCTGTTTAAAACGCATATTTTCAGCCCGCGTTAACATATTAAGAGAAAGAAAATAAGAACTCAATAACAATGATATCAATTAAATTATAGAAAAAAAAAATTCGAGTTCAATCACAGAATTAATAGTGCTATGTACCATATGGGTAAAACCTTCCTTGTGTTAAAAAATAGAGCAATATTTATTGAACATGAATACTCAATATAAATAATCAAACGTTTTGGCTCAATAATGAACCCTTTTCAGCGATATAAAAAACTCAAGGTTTACAAAACGAACGCATTATAAGTAAAAGAATTAATTAAAGACCTTAATAAAATGACATGAATGTTATGTGCCATTAATATTTCACTATTAGTTTATTCGCAGTATTATAGCTTATGGCTATATGCTGTCCATATATGCAAAATGGATTATGTTTATATTAGTTTCGATAAAATACAACATTTAATATATGAGATATAGAGATATGTCGCTTTAGGAGGCCTATGTTGCTTTTGGATACTTTCCTCTACTCTTATATATGGCCTCAAGAGAATTGCTTTGAAATCAAGAGAAAAATAATCTTAAAAAATATCACAATTCTTAAAAATAGAGGAATTTCATATTGAATGTACAGTATAAATCTATTTTTGTTCTGAATCTAAATTTTCTCTTATACATTACTTATATATTACTTCAACCTAAAAATATTTCTTCGGATTTAAGGGGTTAGGCCGGTGTGACTGGTCGAAAATATAGGCGAAAATATAAAATTTTTAGTGTTAATTTTTGTTTAAAGTGTTAATTGCTGAAGATATAAAAAAGTCGTAGACTTGTGGTTTGGTATTTTATTTAAGTACATAATGAAAGTATAAAATATGCAACATGAGAAGAAAATAATTTTAGTACCATTTATTAAAAGTCAATTTCTTTTGCATTGGTCACTGGTGTCGATGATTTCGCCATATTGGATCGTCTGAAACAAAAAAAGAAATAATATTACTTAAGAGTATTGTATTCCCTAAGCATTGACCGAACTTATTCAAAATTTGTTGAAATTTGACAGAAAAAAAAATTATTGAACTTTTGGTTTGATTTTTGGTACACATATTGTTACTTAATTTGTTAGTATTTTGCAAAATAACAATAATATTATAAAAATCCTCGGTGCTTAGAGAAAACTATAAGGATAATAAAAAACCAAAATTCAAGTCAATCCGATGTACATCCCGAGAAACCTTCGATACTATTTTGAAAAGCGAGGTTTCGAGAAAAACGCATTTAAAATTTTACAACATAGTCTTTATATTATATAGTGCAAACTTTTTTATTCTTACCACTAATCTGCCATGTCAACTTCGTAATAATTATTCCCCTCAACGTCGCTTCTTGCTTTGCTCTGCCGTTCGAAATACAACCTTTTTTAGATGCCTCGAACGTGCGTATTTCAGCGGTCGAAATTCGTTTTTCGTCCAAGGTTTCGCAAATGTTTGCTGTTATCGGTCCGATTACTATATTCATGGTATTCATGATTAAAAGAATACTTGAATATGCTTATATTATATTATTGAATATGCATATATATTTGTTGAATATGCTAGCAATATTGACAGCAATTTCAACAGATTTAGCATCACTAAATGTTGATTTTGGGGCGAAGGTCCAAATTAACGCGTTCAAGCTCTCGTTAGAATTTTGAGTGTAACCACCCAAATAGCGCTCTAACAAATCATCTTTGCTAAGTTCCTGGTAGATAGGAGTGATTGCCTTTATAACATCAGGATGAAAAGCAGGTTTGTGAGTGTATTCACTTAATTTATTTTTCGTCTTTACTACCTGCCAGGAACACCAAGAACTTGGCCCGGGCGGACAGTTCTCATGTTACAGTTTAGCGTCAGTTGACGATTTGTGCTTCAACGTTGCCCATATTGCAATTTTCATATCTTATATTGAATTTTTATATCTCCTAATAGTAAGTCCGTAATAAACGCTTAATTAATCGATTAATTTTCCAGTCAATTTTCCTCGTCCTCCTATTTCGTCCTTTTTTATGTTACGGAGTCGAGAGCCCATCCGCTTTTAAACGTGACCGACACATTCTTTTTTAATTATTGTAATGTTTTCTCCGTATGGTTGCAATTCAACGATGCCTTTGTATGTTTTACAACACGTCACCGATATACGATAAATATTTAACTCCATGCAGATCTTCAGATCTCTTAAACATTTCTATTGCTCTGTCTACTTCCATTTTACCTGAACTCCCTTCGTGATTTGCTAAACATATTTCTTTATGCGATTGCATCCACAATTCGAATTCAGTCGAGTTATATTTATTCTTCCAGTATTCGCATTGCTTGCAATACGATGATTTCACGATTACATCCAATACTTGGCCAGAATACCATCCAATTAGCGATACGACACCTTGCAATGACGTAAAACCGCGCTTTCGCCATATGCCATCTCCAGAAACCATTAGTCCCGCCGGTTCTGACCTTTTCTGCTTTTGCCATTAGGTTTTTCTCCTCAGTAACAGCTCCAGAAAATAATAGAGAACTAACAGTTTTCGACGCACAATGAATGTTTGTATTAATATCCTGGTAAATCGTTTTAGTGAACATTTTTGATAGATCCATGATACCGCAAAACTTTCTTATTCCATCGTAACCAATACCGAGAAGTCTTATCGCGAATACGATTCGTCTGTTAATTTCATACGCGTTCTGTATGAGTGGACAAAAATTAACATATCGCGGTTCGCAATTGTCACAATTTATTACCAATTTAAATCCAAATCCTCGAATACTTGACTCACAAGGAAACGGTCGGGGGCGTCCCTCACCGAATTTGATGAGCATTGGATATGTTGTAGAGCATCAAAAAACATTAGACACGTATTTTTTTTTATGTGCTTATCTCGAGGTTTAGGGGTTGAAACCACCCCTTGAAAAAAACGGACTTTTTCATTTTTATTTAATATTTCCTAAAATATGAGGTATATGAAAAAATATTTCAGACAAAAGTTTTACAGTATCTTATGCCCTTTCCATCGGTCTATTCAAATTTTTTAAAATGCAATATTTCACCCCCCCCCTCCCTCTCCCCTTCGTCACCTTTGCAAATTTTTAAGTTTTTGTAAGGACAAAAATTAAAAAGCATTTCATGCCAAATCCATCGATATATAATAATAGTATGGTTCCTCGATTCAATTCTTGGCAAAACTACATGACTGATAACTTCGCGTTATAGGCACCGCGTTGTGCGAGTAGGTAAGTACTGTACGTTGCGTTGGATTACTTCTCTTCACTTGCGCTATGTTTTATAACTACTTGCGCATATTTTCTCATATTACAAGATAAAAACGAATTAATTCTAATCATATGATATGTAATATACGAAATAAAGACGTAAGCAGAGATAAACAACAGTAAGCATATATAACAACAGTAGCAAATGTGCGCGGCGTCGCAATTTGTACAGAAGTTTTCAATGTATATTAAATATGTTTACTGCAAAGTAAATTGATACAAGATCAAGGCAGGTTAAAATAAAATTGTAATGCATGAAATAAAAGAAACACATATTCTATTACTTTTGCAAGAGAGAGAAAGCGTGTAATGTGAATATACAATATATAATTACTAATTGCTAAAGATAACAGAGAACTCCGGATAAATTATGGAATAGTAATATAAGGAAACAAAGTAGAAAGGAATAATAAATTGTAGTAGAACAATATTTGACAATAATATTTATTTAACAATATATTTTAAAGCAACAGTACAGAATTTGCATATGAACGGATAATGTATTATATTTATTGCACATATTCGTTACAAAGATGATGATCATGGAAAAAATGTGTAATACAAAGCGATTTTTTACACCAAGAACAAGTAATTATGGCAGTTTCGCCACAAATATCGCAATTTACTTTCGAATCCCTTTGGAAACAAAATTCAACCGGTGTTTGAAACTCTGTTGGTCTAATCTCTACATATCCACTTTTAAACCATGCATATCGAAATAAACTTTGAAACCTAGGCGACGAGAATTGATGGTGCGTTAATGATTGTAATTTCAAAATATTATTTCTAGTATGAAGTTCAATTGCAAGATTTAACAATAAAACAGTATCAGAAAAATGTCTAATAAAATTTTTCCATAATCGGAAGCCGTATACATCTAATGGCTGTATTTGTCCTGTTGTACCGGCTGGAATTGTTAGAAAAACAATATCTGTTGCATAATCTGTTCTAGTTTCCGCTATTATGTTGGGACAATGCCCACTCCAAGAATCTAATAATAATACAGATTGTGGCCCAACATTCGGAAAAAATACTTCTTTCAACCAGGTTTTTACATGATTTGACGTTAATTTTCCTGATGTAGAAGCCGTAACAAAAATATTAGGCGCTTTGAACATAGTTTCCTGTACTCTAGGACCAAATGTTCCTGTTACTTCCTTTAAAACAATGAAAAGCGGAGACAATAATCTACCATCCGCTGAAATTGTCGGCTGTATAGTATAACTATGCGTAGTTGCTGATATGGACTGTACTACAGATTCTATCTTTTTTGTGCCTTTATGTGATAACGTACGACCGGAATGAAATTCTAACTGAAATCCGCTCTGATCAGAATTATAAATATTTTCTAATCCATATCTACCAATGTAATATTTTACGTTTTCAATAAATGTATTGCATTTATTTTCAAAATTTGATTTTGATAATAAGGATTTTTTCGTGACAAATTTGGTTATTTTCCGAGACACAATATTATATGCAATTTTGAATCTTTTTACCCACGTCATTGAAGCTTTGAATTTGTCCACATTTTCTTCTTCTTGCGCTCGAGATGCCCATCGAGCGATGTCAATGTCATGAATAATCATTCCTTTTTCAAGTGCTTCATTGAAGCGATTTAGTGTGTATTGAGATATCCTTTTTAATTTTTCTGTTCTACTACCGCCTTCATTTACTTGGTTGTCCCACCGTCGTAATTGTCGTATAGATGTTACCTTTCTAAATCTTCTTTTAACTCCTTCAAGCGATCTTGCTCCTGTTTTACCGCTCTTCCAATAATCTATTGCTTGTTTTTTATAGTCATGTGATATACTTGCTTCAACGGAAGCGCAAATAACTTCTTCTGGAAGATATTCTTGCCCTTCATTTTCTTGTAATAAATCAACATTTTCTGCTTCTGGAACTTCATATGTATTGTAAAAATCTAAAGTATCCTCCTGTTCTATTTCAAATTCATTATCATTTTCTACTTCTCTCAACATATATTCAATCTTCTCGTTCATTTCAATTTCCTTTAGAGTTATTGGACTTTGTGGAGGATTAAGAACATTGAAAGTTGCATAAAGCAACGTAATAACGTTCAAGGCATTAAATTGCATCATTCTGATAAAAAATATTAAAATAAAGTATGTCTTTTGAACTGTGATTATATAAAAAAAAAATATATACTTTATAATAAATGCAGTGGTCTTCTGTTAGTTCTAATGCCGCTTCTTTTGCTTCTCTTTGTTGATACCAAAAATATGTAGTGAATCTAAAATAAATCAATGTCGTGATAATGGAGAAACAGCTTTATAGGTGTTATGAAATTAATTAATAGATAGGTGTTATGAAATTTTAAATAAACAAAAAAATAAAATTTATCAACTTATAACAATTTTAGTAGTACCTTTTAAATATTCGTCGAAACATCAATCACAACATTTTATTAGCAAATGATTCTTTAGATACAAAGTCAGAGAATTACGTAAAAAGTGATAGAAAATGATGAGTTACAATAATACAATACTTTAATTACACATGGCACACATGTATGTGTATCCAAAATTAATAACTATAATTATAATTGCACAATTATCACAACGCACAACTCTTTACTTTGTCAACTCACGAGTTAAAATGTCAGTCTTCCGGTACAACGGACATTTATATAGTGGCTATATGGTATGTATATACAATCTATTTTTACCAATGACGATCGCATGATTCTATTCCTGAACGTCGTTTGGCACGACGTTTGCGATCTTCAAAACAACAATATACAGGGTGACTCATTTTAATTAATGCACTCAAATATCTCAAAACCTGTAAGTTTT